GCCAAGGCCGAAGAGGAGGCAGCCGACGTCCGGCGCGACAGGACGGCGGGGGCTGTCGCTGCTAACCGCTTGTTATTGGCTTTATGTTACTGCTATGTTTGCTTGCTCGGTTGGTGCGACGGGCGTTGTCTCGCAGTGTGTCAGGGGAGAAAACACCACCCCGGCCCCCATCCTTGGCGGTTGCTGAACAGCCCTGGGCGTTTATTACACAGCCCTATCACGTTCGATTACTTCCTCGGCTGCGTTTGCTGAACGGCTTCGCTTGTTGTGGGGGTGCTTCTTCTGAGGGTGGTGTTTCTACCCTCCAGTGTGGGCCCTTCGGAGCCCTAGAGAACGGTCCGCAACGAGCAGCACCGGCCCTGGGGATCAACTCGAGAGCTCCGAGGGCCCGCGTCGGCAAGATCGATTTCTGTTTGCGGACAAGTCCCCAGTGCGGTCAGCGAACGCGAAAGGGCGCTGCGTAAAGACATTGCCGCGTTGGGTCATGGGATGTTGCTGCGTCTTTTGCCCGGAACTGCAACGCTGTTTGTTGGCGGCTGCGGGGAATGGTTGAAAACATTGATTATGCCAAAAATGGATCTCTGGAGCAGAGGTTGGTGGCCTGGCTCGATCGGGTCTTTCAGAGCTGGGCTGTGCAGGCGCCGATTGCCGACGAAGCCGTGTGATTCAAGAGCCGTCTTCGTGCGCAGCCCCATCCCCGATTTCAAGGCGCGGAGACAAGCGTCAAGTGGAGACAGGGCGCGATTTGGGCGGTCGGCGACTTCGGGGGAGGCTTCTCGGAAGGCACGATGGGGCGACACGAGTTTGGCGGCCCTCTCGGAAGGCGGCGGGGCTCTGGAGAAGGCTCAGGAGGACGGAGGTCTGCAGAGCCTTCTGAGACGCGATCACGCAGCCGTGCGTTCCTTGGCGCTGTTCCCCGGCCGTTTCTCACACCTGCCCGTGCAGCGGTTGCGGTCAGGGCGGATCCTCCTGATAATTTTGGCGAGATTGAGGTTACTCGGCGCTATCGAGTTCTCGGCGCAGGTCAGGATCTATCATTGCGTGCCACTCGTTCTTGACGGGCTTGGTGGTTTGATTATAGGTTCATGTGTGCGTTGCCAGTGAGATTGTTGATCTCGACTGTTCCTGCATCATCATCATCAACATCAAACCGTCGTCATCATCAGCAGCAGCATCAGCAGCAGCATCAGCATCAGCATTAGCATCATCAGCCTCGTCAGCATCATCAGCATCATCATCAACATCCCTGAGCTTGTAAATAGTAGGCGCCCTCACTGAGGGCGCCTACTCACAAGCTCGACATTGGAAGAGCAAGCGCCTGAAGGCCCCTCAGAAGACACTCGCATTTCCAATGGTAACTCGACTGTTCTGGACAACAATTGCACCGCACGGAGTGCGTCCTCCCGTTCTGTAAGTGTCCCCGCGAGGAGGGGTGACCACAAGCATTAAGTCGGGCCTGTCCCTCTACGAGAGGAATATTCAAAAATAGTAAAAATAATTTGGGGACGATTTTTTGAATATTTCCTGACAATTTTGAAGTATTTCCAGAGTATTCTTTATTTTCTGTCCAAAATCTCCCTGTGGAGTGACAGGCCCGACTTAACACAAGCAGCAGGAGGAGGAGGAGGAGGAGGAGGAGGAGGGCAGAGCACGTGCAGCCCCTGGAGGTCCCAGAGCGGACTCCGCAGGTCCCTCGATCTCCAGAGGCATCCAGAGAGCAACGACAGAAAAACATTCCGATGGGCTGTATCCCCAGGGGCACACGCCGGTCGTTGAAAGCAGGTATTTCTGGATTCCCAGATCCCAATCTACTTCAAGTGCCTTCCTACTTCAAGAATCGGCTTGCTGTTGCTGTGTTTTGTGATTCTCTGGGAGGGCCTAGACGCAATCCACTATATCCGCCTTCCTACTTCATGTTTTTACCTACTTCTTCCGACCGACGTGTAATGATGATGCACTGCGAATTCGGCAATTTTCCGCTTCTAATGGCCTTCGTAGAGGGCCTGCGTGCTACAGGCGCGCCTGTCCCCCTATGCAGGGACGCCGGCCCTTCCCGGCGATGGCAGAGTTCAATCTTTTGTTCCCAAGGAGTAGGGGGAGGTGGAGGGGAAGAGGGAGGAGGACCAGAGTCAGCCCATCTGTTGTTAACGACGCCGAGTGGGCCCTGCCAACCTCGGGCACGTGCCCTCTGGCAGTAGAGTCTGGGCGGGACCCGGCCTGCGCGAGGGACCGCGGAGCGACCGACCTGGGCGACAGGGACCGCGACCGAGGCCGGTGCCGCCGCGCCGATGGGGCCGGACGAAAGGGGGGGATAGGGAAAGGGGGGGTTACGAAATCTGCTGCATGCAGCTGGTTGCGGCCCCACCGAGGGGCCCATTCCTCGATACCGGGGCGCCTCCCGGCGCCGGGAGGCGCCGGGAAAATCAGCTGCGTGAGCTGAGTCTCAACCTCCCCCCCCTTTGCCATCCCCCCCTTTCGCCCAGCCCGAGCCGCCCGCTGCCGCGCGGCCGGCGTCCGCCGCAGGTTTCGGGGGCGGCCAGGACGAGGAGGGGGGCGGGGTGGGTGACGGGCGCCATGCTGCCTCCCCGGATTTTATGGCCCTGTCCTCTCGACTGCACGTAGGAGTGGCCCTTCGCCCGAGGGGCCGTTGGTGCGGGCCCGGTGGGGTCCCCGGATCGCCGAGTGCAGTGCGGCGGTGGCGTCTTGCGCGCTCGTTTTTGATCCACCCCGCGGCCCCCGAAGAGCCGCACACCAAGGATCGCTCCTGCCCATTGTCCCTCCTGCGCGCAGCCGAGAAGCGAGGGGGGAGGGTGATGACGGGGGCCATGCTGTCTCCCCGGATTTCAGGGCTCCCCCTCCTGTCAGGAGGAGAAAACACACAGACACAATGAATCGTCGATCCCCAGGAAAGGATTTGAAGATATGGGAAGTGGGGGGGAAGACGAAAGCCCAGAAAATACAGGAAAAGATTGGGAATCCTTTTATGTGTGTATTTATTTGTGTGTCCCATGGCCCCTTCAGTGATGGACGTCAAGGAAGGAAGAACCACACCGCCCCCGATAATTCGCGTTTGCTGAACGGCCCTGGGCGTTTTCTAAGCAGCGCTGCCCTGCTCGATTCTTTCCTGGGGTGCGTTGACCAAACGTCTCCGCTTGTCGGGGTGCTTATCACTATGGGGGTGACTTTTCTGCTCTCGAGTCGGACGCCTCCAACAGATCCAGGCCTCCCAAATCGGGGTCCGAGCGGGTGGGGTCGGAGGATCGCGCCGCATCGCCGATGCATCGGCGATGCGGCGCGACTTTCCGACCCCACCCCAGGTAGGAGGACAGCGAAGAGGAGGCTTCCATCAGAGGAGGATACGGTACAGTAGATTTTTGCTGTGTCCACGCGGCGGCGCGATTCCACCGCGGGCGTTCAGGGTTGAACGCCGCCGATGTCCTGGAATCGGCCGATATGGAGCACGTTTGCGATCGGAAAGTCGCCGATCGTCAAAAGTCGAAGGACAGAAACTAAAGCCCAGGGTCACCACGACACGGGCATGCGGTACCGATACCGCTGTCTTTCCCTCCTTTTCGCCGTTCTGGGACTCGCTGGAGAGGCCCACGTCGCCACGGCCTCCTTTCGGGAAAAAACACACAGGCACAATGAATCGTCGACTCCCCAGAAAATATTGGAAAATGTGGGAAGTGGGGGGAAACGAAAATCAATAAAATATGGAAAACATTGGGAATCCCGTTATGTATATATATATATATATATATATTCATACATATATATATATATATATATGTGTGTGTGTGTGTGTGTGTCCTTGGGCCCCTTGATCCTTCCGGTCGGAGGGTGGGTTCGGTGCACTTGGCCGGCTTCTCGCGCGGTGCGGCGTCCGTTCGGGCATCTCGAGGGCAGGGAGGCGGAAAGGGGCACGGGCGCCGGTCCCCGTCATGCAAGATAGATTATTTTGGGGCTGGGTTTTGAATCGGCACGAACGGGATGGGTACGGAAAGAATGGGTACAATGCCCAACAGCAGTTCTTGTTCAAGTTCATCCGTAGCCATTTTGGCTCAAGTCCGTAGCGGCTTCTGCTCAGGACATGGCCTCGCTGGCAAGGGGGAGCAGCGGCCCCCACAGTGCCACTCGCCTGCCTTGCCAGACGAGGTTTACAAGTTTTGTGAGCTCCTGGTTGAGCAGACTCCTCAGTTCTCTCGTGCAGGCTGTGCGATGTCGAATGGTGTTGGCTCGAAGGACGTCCTACTCGGCCCACGCAAGCCACTGTGGAATTGCACGAGATGCCATAGGAAAGGGAACTGGGCGTCTCGGATCAAGTATGTTTGCGGCTGCCCTGCGCCCGTTGAGGTATCAAAAGCAGCCAAGAAGGCACATGAGAAGGCAGTGGCAGGTGGTGCACAGCAGAAGCCGCCCAAAGGAAAGTGGTCGCAAGGTGCTCTGCAGCTACAAGAAGCGCTGGATTCCATCCTCAAGAGGCTCGACGCGATGGAGAAAGGCGGCAAGACTGGTGAAGTCAAGCCTCCTTGGCGCAGAGAGTCGGAGGACGGGACGGACGTCAAGGACATCAAGGAGAGGCTGGCACATTGGCAAAAAGCGGCCCGCTTCTCAACTCATGCTGAAGATCGCTCCTCGGCAGAAGCGCAGGTTGCACGGCTGCAAAAAGGCACTGCAAGAGGCAAGATCGGTGCACGTCCAGCAGATGTCCATCAACACCCGCCTGTCCACGGCGATGGAGACTGCAGTCACTCTCGAGACCAACCTGGCGGGGAAGAAGCTGGAGGTCGAGAAGGCCAAAGCAGAGTTTGACATAATGCTGGAAGACGCACAGTTAGCCCTGGGTGGGGCCAAGAGGCAAGCTGAAGTTCCCCAGCAAGAAGCACGCGAAGCCTACGCCAAAGGCCTCGCACAAGATGGAGAGCAGATCCTCAAGATGAGCGGGCCCCAGTTCGCCTCCGCCAACCAGGAGTTCAAGGAGCGTATCGGCAAGACGCGGGCAGACGCTGCAGGAGGCAAGCACCTGGACACCTTGCGGCAGCTGCTGGAGGTCCAGGCCGCCTCCATCAAGGAACCCAGCGTCAGGCTGGGCCACATGCCGCAGATGATGAATGGATTCCTGCTGGTGCTGCTGATGATGACATGGAGCTCGACGAGCAAGACGAGGAAGATCTTGCCGCTGCAGGAGAGGCCCTCCTTGAGGCCAGACGCGCTGCATATGGAGATGCCAACCAGGAAGACGCAGCACAAAAGATTGCAGCGGCGAAGCGAGCTCTCCGTGACCAACTTGCCCCCATTCGTCAGAAGCGAGCGCGCGTTTAATAATCGCGGCAGTTTCGGCGACAGCAATGATGCGTTCTGCGCATGTTGCGAAGTTCATGCCCATATGTCGTCTGAATGGTGGCTGCTGGCAGGAACTGATTCTGCTGAAGATGCCCTTCCATGTGCTTCCACTCAGCCGGCTGCGGTGGGAGTTGATGATGGCGCCGTGTCAGATCCAGAGCAGGCCTGGCGCGATTGCAATGGAGAGTTCTGGCAGTGCACCGCCATAGATGTGGGCTGGCCTCACCTGGGCTTCGCGGTTCCTGCGTTGCAGCCCCACAAAGGTGTCCAGGATATGAGGCCTGCGCCTGATGATGCTTGGAAGAGGTGGCCTACAGCTGCCACCTCAGCGCTATTGTCTACTTCGTTGGCGGCCAGTTCTGCTTCGCGCACGGCTGCTGCGACGCAAATCCACAGCAGCTCGGCGGGGTAGGCTGATGGGGCCCCTGCCAGTTAGCTTCATGATGGGGTGGGGGGGGGTGGGGGGCTGCCCGCGCAGCCTGCTGGCGGAGGCCGATCGGCTGGGGCCGAGGCTGCTGCATGTTTTTTTCGAGCGCAGCTTCGTCGTCACAGTTGATGGCTCAGAGGTCGCAAGATGAAGCGACAAGAGATGGTGCCCCCTCGCCCCCACGTTGCGCCCGACAAGGTGATCGACCAACTTGTGCCTGGAAGAGCGCGGTCTAGATGACCATACGCGGTCACCTCATCAGGGCGATATCGTTCGACGGCCTGGCCGTCAGGATTGGGCTGGTGCTCCTCGTGCAGATGGCGCTGAACTGCGTGCTGCCCAGGTTCCTGATGTACATCTTAGTGATGCTGCTGATGCTCAGCGGCAGGAGTGTGCGCCTTGTGTGCAGGCTCCTTGCGTGTTCTCGCTGCTGCTCCTCGTCGCGGGACTCCCAGGGATAGGAAAGCTATGGAAAAGCGAGATGAATGGGCATTCTTTCCTTGTAACGCGAGCACCTGGTCTTCCTGGGAGCTGATCATGGAGTGGAGGATGCAGGAGGCCCGAGGTCCGAAGCTACAGTTTTGGGCTGCGCAAGAGGCGAGGGTTTCAGATCACGGCTTGGTGAACCAACATTCTGCCCCCCCTGCGAGCACGAGGTCCCAATGCTGATGTTTGCCCTGCAGTCTGCACAGGCGCGTCTGGTTTCTCCACTTCGGCAGGTGCATTGGCTGGACGCCTCTCTCGCATCTGCCAGCGCACGGCGCAGCTGGATGAGGTCTACGCCGCGCCAGGGACCCGCGGCAGGATCATTGCTAGACATGTCGGTGGGGCCTCATCAGGTGGGCCGATTTGGCTGTCTGTGTATTTCTATCACTCCCAGGGGGTCCAGGGCGACAACCTACCCTTGATGACTGCCTTGGGGGAATATCCCAGCTCTCTGGCTCTTCCATAGGCGATAGGCTGCGATGCAAATGGTTCCTGGGACGTCTGGATTATCTAAGTGGTGCCACAGGCTCGGGGCCTCAGTAATCTCTCCTGGGGAAAAGATTTATGCTGTGGGATCTGGTCAGGAGTATGACTAGTTCATGGTCTCTGCAGGTTCGCCGTCTTGTGTCAGCTCCATAAAGGTGTGGAGTGAAGCCCTCTGCTCGCCGCACTCTCCTGTGGAGCTTACTCTACGAGGGGTCAGCCTAGCTCTGCCAGTACGCGTTAGGGTAAAGTGGAAAGTGTTCCCTACTGGATGCTTGCGTGGGCCTCCGCAGTTGCCCTGGGCCTGGAACACGGGGGCCACGGGGGGCCTGGGCCTGGAGGTTGCGCGGGGTCAACGGGTTTAAAACGCTGAGCTTGAACTATGCCACATTTCTGGCGTCGCGGGGGGGGGAGATGGACATGGGCGAGTACGCTGGATGGACGGACGGTTTCAGGAGGAAGCAGGTTTCCCTGGGCATTGTTTTTAAAAGGTAAGTGGTTGGCGCATGGTACTCCTTGTCTTCGTGCCTG